CACAAAGGATAAAATGGGAAATTTAGAATTATAGAATGACAAAATGGGAATTTTAGAATTATAGAATGACAAAATGGAAATTTTAGAATTATAGAATTCAAAAATTAAATACTTGAAAAATAATTAATTGAGAATTAATTATTATTTAAATAATGTGATTATTTAAATTTGAATTTGAATCATGAACATACTTTAAATTTATCATTTTAAACTTATTTGATAAGTTATTCAATTTGAAATTCAAATTAATTTAAGTTTGACTTAAATTCGAATTTGAATTTGAATTGAAATTGGACTACAGGATAAATGATGATTTTCTCTTCCTTCCCTATCTGCAATTGGCGCCACACACAGGGATAGAAAACCCTAGGGTGGCCGGCCACACAAGGAGAAGGTAGAGAAGAATTTTTGTTCAAAATTCAAACAGGAGAGAGAGATTTGATTCCTTCTAGAAGTTGGACTTATACTCTATAAATAAGGGATGATGAAAAATTGCGCGAGACGATTTTTTAACCTAGACTTTAAGGGGGCTGGCCGAAATTCCCTAGAGCAAGAGAAGGAAAAAATTTTTCTCCCAAAAATTCCACATCGTGCATGCATTGGTGTTTGTGAAAATTTGAGTGTTTTTGAAACTTATTTTGTCTCACGTGTGCCCACACACACGTCTACGTGGAATCAAAGAATTGACGTGGAAGACTTTGGTTTTCTAAACGCAAATCTTGGAGCAAGGATTGTTCGATGTCAAAGAATTCAAGTTATCATCCGAGTCGGCCTCCAGGTATTTTTCCTAATTGAGTTCTTGACATATAAATTAATGTGATTAATTTATTCGTGCATAAATTAATATAATCTATAGAGTATCTCAAAATTTTTATGAAAATTTTTGTTATACTTGATCCGCCCTCCCCGCCACGCTTCCGCATCCGAATTTGATTCGGTTACCAACACTAACTCACTAGACAACTCTGATTTTTGAATAGAGGACTCGACTTCAGGATTTTCTGGTTTTGGGTTAGATTCTTGGCAAGGCTGAGAGGCTTTGGTAGCTATCTTCCGATGAGGGAACTTTCTCTCATAAATCTGTCCAAATACTTTCCCTGTTTGACATCTATTTTCGTTGGTAGTTATTTGTTGAGATACTATGGGTGCAATACCTCTTTCCGAATTTTGAATTTCAATGGAAGAATCCTTTTGTTTTTGAATTTCAGATTCCTTGTTTTTCCCTTTTTCAGTTTCAACAGATTCTTCCTCTATGTTCGAATTCAAGTCCATAGAATTTGAATTGTTTTCAAAATCCCTGATTAGTTCTGGATCCGAATTTGAAAAAATCTTGGGACTTGAATCGGAATTGTGGTGTTGGTTTTTAAAAATTTGCTAGTTTTCAGGAGAATCAGTGATTTGTTCAATCCTGAGAAAATCCAGGGAATCAGGAATCAGTTCAAACCTGCAAGAATCCAGGGCTGGTGAATCCGAGTGGTTGAGACTTTTAAAAAATGAATCTTCATGCCTATTCTCCTCCTGAAGATGAGCTGCAAAATATGGTTTGTTTTCAAAAAACAAAACGTCCATAGTGATGTATATTTTCTTTGAAACAGGGTCTAAACATTTAAAGCCTTTTTGATTTGCTGCAAAACCAACAAACACGCATTTGGTTGCTTGAGGATTAAGTTTTCCTCGGGTTTTATCTTGACTGTGAATAAACACAGTACAACCAAATACACGTAAAGGTAATCAAGAGAATATTCGTGATGTTGGAAACGTTTTTTGAAAAAGGCTGAGTGGAGTTTGAAACTTTAAAACTTTTGATGGCAATCGATTAATCAAATAAATTGATGTTAAACCGCTTCTCCCCAAAGATATTTTGGAACATGATTGGTAAATAACAGGGCCCGTGCAACTTCCAAAATATGTCTATTTTTTTCTTTCAGCAACTCCATTCTATTGTGGAGTATTGTTACACGAACTCTGTTGAACAATTCCTTTTTCAGCAAAAAACTATCCCAAAATATGTTTGAAGTATTCTTTGCCATTATCACTTCTAAATACTTGGATGTTAGTTTGAAATTGAGTTTGAACCATATGATAGAAATTTTTGAAAATTGATTCTACCTTAGATTTTTCCTTTAGTAAATAAACCCAACTCAGTCTTGTATGATCATCAATTAAAGTAACAAACCATCTTTTTCCAAAACATGTTGAAACTCGAGATGGACCCCATATATCACTATGTATTAATGAAAATGGTTTTGAAGGCTTGTATGATTGTGGAGAATAGGATGCTTTATGATGTTTTGCCAATGCATAGATTTCACATTGAAAATCAGAAGGATTCTTATTCTTGAATAGATTCGGAAATAAATGTTGCAAATAATAAAAACTAGGATGACCTAATCTAAAGTGCCACAAATATATCTCATTGTTACTAGAAACAGAAATAGACTTCAAACAGGTTCCTTAGATTGTTTTATTTGATTGAGATCCTTCGTCTAGAAGATAGAGACCTTCACACTCTCTAGCATTGCCAATCATCTTCCCCGAGACCATTTCTTGAAATTCACAATGAGATGGGAAAAAATTAACATGACATTTTAAGTCATGAGTTAATTTGCTAATTGACACAAGATTATAGGTTAGATTAGGGACATGCAGCACATTGGAAAGAATAAACGATGGTGAAATTTTGACAGTTCCTATTCCTGCTATGGCTGAAAAAGAGCCATATGCAATTTTTACTTTCCTATTTCCTGCACATGGTTTATAGGATGAGAAAATACTTGAACAACCTGTCATGTGGTCAGTTGCCCCAAAATCAATAATCCAAGAACAATTGGATTTAACACATGAGAAAGAAAGGACATGACTATTACCAATTTGAGCAAAGGAACAAGACGGAATACCAGAAAATTGTGGAGATTGAAACAATTTAACAAGATGTTCGAATTGTTCCTTCGTGAATAGAGATGATCCTGAGTTAACTTGTGGTTCTTGAGAATTCTCAGCCACGGTCTGAAGAAGAGCCCTTTCGGGTTGCTTCTTTCCTCCTGGTGGCTTACCGTGGATCTTCCAACATGTCTCACAGGTGTGCCAGAATTTTTTGCAGTAATCACACCAAGGCTTCTTCCTTCTGTCTTGATCTCGTTCTGTTGATCGTGCAGTCAGTGCAGATCCTTCTTGTTCAGATCTGTCCTGTAGTCCAGAATTCCCAAGCATGATCTTCCTTTTGCCTTCTTCCATCCTAACTTCTGAAAAAACCTCACGGATGGAAGGTAGTGGCCTTCGCCCGAGAATTCTCCCCTTGACTTCATCAAGACTCTTATTCACACCTGCGAGGAACATGTAAATATGATCATTTTCCTCTCTCTTCTTGAATCTCTCACAATTTTTGCCATTTCCCATTGATCATCATGACACTGATCCAGTTCTTGCCATAATGTCATCATTTCATTATAGAAGTCTGTCACATCTCGATCTCCTTGCTTTGCTTGCCAACATTTCGTTTTTATCTCAAAAATTTGAGATGAATTTTTGAGATCAGAATACGTCTCCCGGATTGAATGCCACACCTATTTGGCTGTCGGTAGGAACATATGAGGCTTGGCAATTGCTGGTTCCATCGAGTTGAGAAGCCACACAGTCACCAATGAGTTCTCCGATCTCCATCTCTTGAAGTGTGGATCTGTCTCCCCTGGGTTTTTTTCTTCTCCAGTCAGATGTCCCAATTTCCCTCGACCATCAACGACGAGCTTGACCGATTGTGCCCATTCCAAGTAATTTTTTCCGTTTAGTTTGTGAACTGAAATTTGCAAGGACATGGCTGCTCCTAGTTGGTCAGCACTGCTGCTTGTCGTAGTCGTAGAAACTGTCCCCAAAGTTTTTGCTGTGACTGTCGACCATGTTGGTTTTCCAATACCAGTTTTCTCCATCATAGTTTTTTTGTGTTTCTATAGAGCCGAGGCTCTGATACCATGAAAGTTTTATGAATGGACTTTGGTAATCTTTTATTAAATCACTTAAGACTTAAATAGTCATACATACATAGGAAAGGAAATACTAAACCGCAAATCTAGGAACTAACATAACAAAAAAAAACATAAATAAAGGACCTAGTCGAGAATCCCTTATTCTATGGCTAACCATCTAACTAACTTGATATTTCTAACAGTTTTCAATGTTTTAAACTTCTTTCTAGAGTTAGCGGTTTAGATTTACAACGTAACAAGTGGATGCCAATGGATTGAAGGCGCGAAATTCGAAGCGGTACGTTTGTTTCAGATTTATAGTTTTAATTCTAAGATGTACTGTATTTCTGTATATAAACTGTATTGGTCGACATTGTCCCAGATTTGTACTATTTTCCTTGGACTTTATGGGCTGTTTTAAATATTATTTGTGAAAGAAAATCTCTGGAGAAAACTATATTGATATGTATGTATTTATTTTTGTGAATTTGTTAAACAGTCCAGTTTAATTAAGTTAAATTTAAAATTAAACCCCAATAATCACGATCCCATCTTTAGGGTCGTGACAAGTAATCAGCGTTGGAGACAGTCCAAATGTAATATTGCCATCCGGTGAGTACTTCCTCAGCCATCCCCTCTTCTTCTTGGAGCCGGCGAGATCAATCAAGAAATAGGGTTGAGATTTTCTGTCTTTGGGGTGTTTGGATTCAGGGAAAACACGAAAGAGAAGGGAAAAAAAGGAAATGGGTTTGTTTTCCTGGTTTTATTATTTTATTTGATAATTAAGGCATCAAAATACCAATTTTACCCCTCTTTCCGTTAGTTTTTTTAAAAGAAGTTTGTCAAATGAGGTTAAATGCAATAGTTTTATAAGTTGAGGGGGTTGATTGCTAAAAATAAAAGTTTAGAGGAAATTCGTTAAATTATGACTAAGTTCAGGGGTGAATGTGCTAAAAATCCGAAAGAAAAGGGTTTTTAAGAAAAGAAAAATAAATAATAAAAAACTTGGGTCCAGAGCATTTCATAGCAGAAAGACTCTTTGAAGTACACTATACTTGGAGAAAATGGCGGCGGCGGCGAGAATAAACTGCTCTTCCGTACAAAACACGCTCTGCTTTCTGAACCCATTGCAGTGCTATTCGCTCAATTCCAAAGCTTCCCATCTCAGGACCCACCTCCACTTTCGCCGGAAACTCCTATCATCATCATCTTCTCGCAGAGCTGTTTTCTGCACCACCGTGACCAACATCAATGGAGGCGAGGCAGAGGCAGAGCCTATTGTTCTCACAACGCCGCTTTATTACGTAAATGCCCCTCCCCACATGGGCAGTGCCTACACCACCATCGCTGCCGACGCCATTGCCCGCTTTCAGGTACTTCATTTTTCTGTATTTGATGGGATTTTAAGAAGTTTTCTATTTGATGTATTAATGGAAGAAGAAAGTCCGATTTTTTGTTATAATTTACTAGGATTTCTGTGTTTGCGATAAGAATTCCAATTCACTCTTAAAGTGATTTTTAATGGGGTTTCAAGAATTTGGTATTGGATGATATATTTGTGGAAGCAGGAAGTTCAATTCTTTTGGTTAAATCGGTAAATTTTGTGCTAAAAGAAGAGCTTTAGAAGGGCTAATAATGCTTTTGTTGCATATTTGATATCTTGTCTCAGAGGCTTTTAGGGAACAAAGTTGTGTTTGTAACCGGCACGGATGAGCACGGGGAGAAGATTGCCGCTGCAGCTGCCGCTAATGGTTCCAGTCCGAGGGAACATTGTGATGTCATTTCACAGGCTTACAAGAATCTTTGGAAAGATGTAAGCTGCTCATTGTTATTTTGATGCCAGTTTTTTTGTGACTAATTTTGTTGAATGCTCAAATGAGTGTCCTTGTTTTACATGTGGTTTTTTCTTTACTTGTAGTTGGACATAGCTTATGACAAGTTCATCCGGACAACTGATTCGAAGCACGAAGCAATAGTGAAGGAGTTCTACTCGAGGGTTCTTGCCAATGGAGACATTTACCGAGCTGACTATGAGGGACTTTATTGTATCAATTGCGAAGAGTATAAGGTGGTCTTTTCCATTTGAAGTTGTGTCTTTAGTTGTAGCAACAATACTAATTTTTGATGTTTTAATTTTTTTCTTCATATCTTATGTTGGGTACTAGTTTAAAACCTCTGCTCACTTTAACTCAACTTACATTGTTTCTTATGCGTTCATTTTATTCCTTTAAATTTCTGAAGTAAATAAGATGGTTTATAATTTTTGTGTGTTATAATTACTTTTCTTTTTCCATTTAATTGAAGCATTGATTTCTTGTGCTTGTTGTGTAGAGCTATCTGCCTGCATTTTCCAGAGGGTGACATTCAGCTTTGTTTGGTCTGCAGGATGAGAAAGAACTGCTTGGTAACAACTGTTGCCCTACGCACCTAAAGCCATGTGTTCCACGGAAAGAGGATAATTACTTTTTTGCATTGTCAAAGTATGAAAGTTTTCTGGAGGACACTCTAACACAAAATCCAGATTTCGTGAAGCCTTCATTTCGTCTAAATGAGGTCAGGATGCGGAACATTCGTTTTGTGGGCGTTTAGCGAACTCTACTTTAAATGTTTGTTGTTCTAATTTGCAGTGGCATGCTTTCTTTTAGAATTATGTATTGGAGAATATTAACAGTTAAGGTTTTTACTTTAGGAATAGGCACAGAGTCATATGAAACCTTCATTTTGCTATGATGCTGAAGCATTGTAGTTTGAAACGTGATCTGTAGATTTCTGTGATGTCGGTACTTAAATTTCAATTTTCCTTTTCTCCAGGTGCAAAGTTGGATTAAAAGTGGCCTAAGGGACTTCTCCATTTCCCGAGCATCAGTGGATTGGGGAATCCCAGTTCCTAACGACAGCAAACAAACTATATATGTTTGGTTTGATGCTTTACTCGGGTACGACATTTTTCCGTATTAATATGGTAATATCAAACTATAGTATTCTTTTTTAGCTTATGAGTTATTAAACAATACAAAAGTACAACTCGTCAATATTCATTTTCTCCTACATAATCCTATAACTGGGCTTGACAGAAACTGCATGAATATTGTTAAAACAGTTATATATCAGCCCTATCAGAGGACACAGAGGAACCTAACTTAGAAAATGCTATTTCATCGGGTTGGCCTGCCACACTACACTTGATAGGGAAGGTATGATAATTTCTCGTCATTTTGTAGATTTGTAGTTTTACCCACTAGTATACTATATGATTCCTTGGGGATGAGCTTTTCGGTATAATGCTTTCATGACACAATTTTTGCCAAAGTGACTTCTTGTTTGTTTCTGCTATTATTTGCTTTTAGTTTATTCCTTTTCAATTCCACTTTTTACCTATCTTTGTGCAGTTGTAGACTCTTAGGTATTATGTGATCATGCTTCTCTAAAATATCCTTTTCAAATATTATCTATTAATAATTCATTGTATTTATGATTTTCATTTAGACCTGAGATACCTTATGTGTTCCAGTGTTTTATGAAAATCATAAAATATTATAATCTATTAGTTTTTTTTTTTTTTAATAATAAGAAACACCTTTATTGATAATAATAAAAGTAATAAGGTACTAACAGAGGACAAGAAGTCCTCACGCAACAAACACAAAAACTCAACAGAAAAACATAGAACATTACAACCTATCTAACCCAAAATGAGATCCCAACTCCTCACCAAATCCGAGAATGACAAATCCGCGAATTCTTTATCTTGAGATGTCCAAAAACCCAATTATTTAAATTATCCCAAACAAAAGTAGCGTCATTTTCGACTCCTTCAAAGATGCGTTTATTTCATTCCGTCCACAATGATCAACACGTAGCAAGAGCTATAGTACTCCAAAACCGCCTACATCTCTTACTCCGCCCAATAAGAATATCAGCATCCAATAATTCAGCAACACAGCTAGGAAGAGCCCATAAGAAACAAAATATCCCTACAATCTCGTACCAAATCTTCGATGAAAATGGGCAATGAAAGAACAGATGGTTCAACGTTTCGTTATCATTCCTGCCAAGAACACACCAACTTGGGGAAATATAAGGTTAGGCTTCCTTGTTTGCAACAATTCATGAGCATTCAGCTTGCAAAGAGCAAGCAGCTACCAAAAACCTGAATTTTCATCGGAACTGAGATTTTCCTAATGAAACAATATAGGGGAAAAGTAGGATAGGAATGATTGTCAATTAGTGAATCCAAAAAAGATTTACAGGAAAACAAACCTGACCCTCAGCCGGCAACAATATCCATTCCTTAAATCTTGACTGCCATATACTCCCCAGAAATCTTCTGTCTACCTCTCTACGTTTAACTTCTTGAAGAATCAAAACATCTGGAGCTTCCTTACACACTACCTCCCGAATTCTCTTTAGAGACGAGTTTCCTCTAAAATATTTTAGGACATCAGCTTCATTAATTACCTCTTAATTCCCCATTAACGTTCTTGTCATATTGAACGTTAAACTCCAAATTCTTCAATTCCCTCTCGTTTCCTTTTCTCCTAATCGACCTTGTAGCCCCTTCAATTTTCTTCGATGCTGACCATTGAACCTGCATCTTTTGAAAGCACTGCACTAACCTTTCTCCACTCCACCTTTTTTCCACCAATTGAAACATTGCCTAGACATCTGCCAATTTTCTTCCTTCGTGTTTGCATCATCCTATCTAACCATAACTCCTTCCGATCCCACCAGCCTCTAAAACAACTCATGCCTATGCTCCGCCCCTCAAACAATCCTCCAAACTTTCCTCCCATTCAGCTGGTTCCAGTGATGCTAAAGAAGACAGATTTAGGATATTCGAGCTAAGGGCTTGTTCTTCATAAAATCCCAGAGACTTTTCACCTTTCTCGTTCTCGATCACTAGATCTTCTGAATTATTTGCCGCCATGAGAATCCTTATTTCCTCGAGTCCAACAAAGCCCCCTTGATCCTCCGCCTCTTCTTCCTCGTCTGTCAAACAAAAAGAGGAAACTGAGTGAGATCCACTCTCTTCATCTGAAAAATCATTGTCCTCGTCTGATCTGGTAGACCCTCTTCGGGAAAAGATCCCTCCAATCCCTTGTCACCCCCTAGCTTGATTGAAGCTGCATGAGTTTTATTAAATTCTCTCATTCTCCGGTAGAAGAAAGGAAACAGTTTGATTCTTCAATTTTCCAATTCTCCATCGCTCGAATATTGCAAAGCACGCTTTTTGGGATCATTCCTTTGAAAATCTTCCCACTTTTTAATTTTGGCCTTGATAAAATCAGACTTGCATTTGGCCTTCCACAGACCAACCTTTTGTTTTTTTTTTGGGCTTTAATCAGTTCTAAACAAGCGTTGTCACAGTTTCCATTCACTTCGTCCAGTACCGGGTTACCTATGGTACCCACGCTTGGAGTACCCTTGGTAACCTTGCTTGTTACAGGCCTAATATCTGATTGGGCTTGAATGCTTATTGCGGTCTCATCTCCTCCTGAACTATTTAAATCTCCCAGAATTCCATATTTATTGGAGAGGAATAAATGCCTATTTTTAGGAGGTAGAGGTACGTGATAGGCATCAAAACCGAAAATGGTCTCGACCATTGTTCCTCTCGATTCTCCCACTTCTTTTAATAGCAGTGGCTCACCTGTATGGTCCACAACGTTAGATGAACTCTTAGGAATGCATGGAACCGCCGCCACGACCATCTTTCCACGTGGAATCCAAGTCAAAGAAGACTCCAATTTGGAACTTCCTTCTGCTTCTTCGATTCCATCCTTCTGTCACCGCTGACCGGAATTCCTGCCCTATCGTTGCCGGTTGTGTCTCCTTCGCCGGACTTCCTTCCCTGCATCACCAAGCGAATTCTAGTATTTTCATCCCCCGGGTTTCATAATTTCCTCCAACCTTCACTGTGTACTCTTCAACACTTCTAATAAGCAATCCTCTTGTTCTTCCATTAGACTGGAAATGATTGTTCTCCAAATTGAATAAACCCAGATTGATTTTCTCTCCTTCACATGTGACTTCCAAAACTGGTGGCATTAGACCTTCCCTGAAGCCTTTGACCTTGATTTTTGCGTACATAAGAAAAGACTGGTCCAAAGTCTCTTTGGTGACCTCCAAAAGACCTCCGCAGGCAGGCTTCGTTTATAATCTTAAAAGGATGAACGTTCCACAAGTTCAGAGGCAGTCCTTCAATTCCAATCCAACTATTCCTTACCACAATCTATATGTGCTGCTAGTGAGGAAAATTGTCCATGGCTCCATTCTCGCTACTGTGTTTTTTCTACAAAACAGAGGCTTTTCATTCAGCAACAGACATCTCTCTGCATCGTCCTTGCACGAAACAACTGCCCTATCAGCAGCCATAGGAACTACTTGCACAAACCTCAATAGCCTACTACCTATTAATTCCTTAATCATCTTCCAATCAGCATCCACACTTCTCCTTATAACTACCACTGCAGTTTTCCAAGATTTTACCACTCCTACCTTATTTCCATTGGAAGGACATCCCTTACTCTATCCTACTTCTGCCGTTTCAACTTTCTTATGACTGTTCCTATTGAAGAAGCTTTGAAGGCATCCTTTAAATTTCTCCCATCCTTGAAAAGCAAACTCCCCTGGAATTACTATATTCCTTATTCCTCCATTCTTTATCTTCGAAATTTTGAAGAAGTTGCCGCCTTTATTCCAGTAGCATTCTAATATCAACCTGTAGCTAGACCCTTTGTAAAACCTGCTGAAACCTCCCTTCTTATCCCTGATAAGTTCTTCATTGACAACTGTACACAGCCAAGCCGTACATCCCAAGTCTACTTGTATTGAAAAACTCTGCACTCTGTTCCTCTTAGTAATCTCAATCTCACTCCCTGAGTTATCTAATCTTAAAAATGAAAACTTTAGTTCTAAAATCCTGATCAAAGTGTTTGTACCTCATTTTGTTAAGATAGAAACATCAATGAAAAGGCTGTAGACTGAAACTGTTAAAATTATGGAGAGGAGCTTCTCTCTACAAGAATTTAATTTCTTGGGTATAAGAGAAATGTAGGTCTCATTTGTTATTCCATTGATCACACCTTTAGAGTGGAACTCCATCAACACTTCCAATAATTCCGATTTTACCACTTCCCAATTAGATTGGAAGAAGGCCATTGAGTAACCATCAGGACCTGGAGCTTTGTTACCATCACAGTCAAACACGACTCTTCTCACTTCTTCCTATTCAAACCTTTTTTTCCAAAAAACCAGCCTCAATCTCTGATATTGGTGACCAATCTATCCCATCAATGCCTCTAATTTGAACCCCTGACGAACAAAATTGAAGTTGCTGAAATAAGTAATTACCTCCTCCACTATCTCCTCTTCCTTATCAAGCAAATTACTGTTTGCTGTTTCTAGCTTAGAAATAGTTTTTTTTTTTTGCTTTCCTAGCGTTCATGAGTTAATGAAACAACTTAGAGTTAGCATCACCGTCTCTTGCCCATTTAAACATTGATTTCATTCGCAGCACTCCTCCTGTAATAATAACTCGCTTCATTCTCTCTTGAGTTTAGGTCTTTCTTCTTCTAGTTGCTTAGACCACTCCGGGGTGACCTCACCCTTATCTATCTTCAAAAGCCTCTTCATTCTCACCCTTTTTTCAATCCTTAAATCTCCAAAGACGTCCTTATTCCATATCTTCAAGAGGCTGCTAATATTTTTCAATTTTCTCATAAACTTGTAGCCAGCCCATTTGTGTACTATTTCCTCATGCCACCAAACTTCCAAATCCTTCTTGAACCTTTTGTGTTCCAACCACATGTTCTCGAATCTAAACGGCGTAGGACCCCAAGTTGGTGGATTAGACGCCAAAATTACAGAGCAATGGTCGGAGACGCATTTCACTAGCACTTGTTGTCTTATATAGTTGAACAGATTGCCAAATCCCAGAGTAAATAGAAATCTGTCCAAATGGCAACAAATAGGAGTCTCTCTAAAATTAGACCAAGTGAAGCAAACGTTAACTAGTGGTGGATCATGAGTTCCATTTTGCCGAATCAGCTCATCAAACAACCTCATGCTACGGGTGACTATAGTATTGCTCGCCTTTTCCTCCAGACTTATTACAATGTTAAAATCACCACTTGTCGCCACAAATTTCCAACAATCCCACAATCTCATCCCAAAAAGAATTCCGCCTTGCACT